AAATGCAATCCCGATGACGGGCGAGATATTCCAATGCAACTCCGGCGCCTGCGCCGTGCGCACCAAGAAGACCACTATCCCCATGATCCCGAGCAAGAATCCCGGGTAGCTAAGCCACAGTCTGAACTCCGGCGCCGGCGCACGACCAATCTTCTTCGCGCGGTGGTTCATCCAAGTATCCGACAGGATACCACCTAGCTGCTCGCCGATGACGGAGCCGATGATGATGCCGAGGAACTGAAGGCCGAGCTGTTGCTCGTTGAAGTGGAATTTCTGGCCGAAGAGCTGGGGCAGCTCGACGCTGACGAGAACGCTGCAGAAAACGAAGGTCATGGCGTAGGCAATGGCGGGGAGGAGGATGCAGAGCTTGCGGCTAAGGAAGAGGGGCTGGATGAACTCGTAGGCGCTGATAGGGGAGGGGTCGATGCGACTGAATTGGAGGTATTCTTGCTTGAAGTCCGAGCCGTGGTGCGTGACGCCAGTACGGATGTAGCGGGTTTCGGGGCCGAGGAAGAGGTAGAGGATGAATTGGACGCCATTGACCTGTTGTCAGAGGTTAGAAAGAAGAGTTGGGTTGCGAATGGGAGACTTACGATTGCGAGGATCCAGTAGATCCATCTGTAGCCGACGCGCTCTGCAACGAAGCCGAAGATGAAGGGTGAGAGGGGGACGCCGAGAGTGACTAGCAGAGTCCAGATTCCCATGTACCGGGCGCGCTCCTTCTTGAAGAAAGTCTCCATGACAACGGCGCTGCCAATGGCTGCCGGAGGACTGATGAAGAATGCAACTATGGCTCTGCATACAGACATCGAGTTATAGTCTGGGCTCTTCGCGCAGCCGATATTGCCTAACAAGCTGCAGATGAGAGAGAGCAGGAAGACGGGGCGTCGTCCATAACGATGAGAGATCGGCTTCCAGATGAGCGGTGCTACCCCAAGAATGGCGATCTGGAGAGACGTGAGGTACGTAATATCCTGGAGCGGTCTGCCCAAATCCTTTGCCATGACTTGATAGGCAGGAATGATGGAGGCCGCAATGAACGTCGACATGCAAGCGTGGAACGCAACGAGAATAAGATTGATCACTTTCTGCAAAGTGGCACTTGAGTTAGTCAAGTTAGAAGAATCCGTAGAAGCAAGGGCAACATGCCTTCGACGAGGTCCAGTTATAAGGGTCTGCATCTCCCATTCCTGGAATTGGATCAAGCTCCAGGGTGCCGTGACGCTGCATCAGGTATTCCCGATGCTCCGGGGAAAGTGCATCAGTGGTTTCGGGGTGCACATAGGTGGTGTGCTCTGCTGTTTGTTCCATGTCCTCGCTATGCTCTGCGCTGGGTTTCCCTGGCCCGTTGTTGCCAATGCTGGGCAGCCCATCAGACGGTTGGCCCAGACCCTTTTCGTCTGTTGAGGTTGCCATGGCTTGCAGTCCAAAAGAAGCTTAAAAAATACAAACACTGGCAATTGCCTCGATTGAGGTTCTCAGGGGATCTCCGGGTAGCAACTGTAGCAACTGTACTAAGGGACTATCATACAAGCTGTGGAAAGCTCCAGCGTTTTATGAAAAATATAAGGGGTATAAATCAGCATGAGAGATGTGTAATGGATGAGCTATAGTAGGTCCCAACAGCTCCTTTAAGGATCATCTATCGCGTTTTGTAGCACCAGGACCCGAACTAATATGATGACCATGTACCATGTCGGAAGCTGGGGACGACCACTACAGTTTACGGGCCAATGGACGGAGCCCCCGCACGATTCATTCGCCTTTCCCCACACCAAATATGGGCTTCCCCTCAAACTGACCGGGACCATCTCCACAGTCTTCCCCACAATGAAACTCAATGAAATTCCACGTGGAAAAGTAGAAAAGTGGAAAAGTGGGAAAGTGGGAGAGTATGGACGCGCAATCTTCCATGTCCGCCGCGGAGAACACTGTGTTCTACTCCGCATTCTATTTTGAATTGTGTTATCCGTTCCCCCGCAAATCGATTTGGGCCAAAATCGCTGTCATAAAAGTCTAAATACACAGTAGAAAGTTTCACTGGGGAAAAGTTAAAAGCCCCTGGCGTCCGAAGCCCTTATGGACGTGGCCGCGCGCCCAGCTCGGTAGATCCCCGGCGTACCCTGATTCGACCACTGTGGCGGGCTGTGCTTTGTCTGGGCAAGGCTTAAAACCAAGAAGACCAAGCCCGACGACGCCACTTTTTGATCCATTATGTTGTTCATAAATCGCCCTTAATTGCTGACTGATGCGACGGCAGTAGGCGACGGCAATGTCTACGCCTATAATATCGCGGAACTTTCGACTTTTTCACACCAGGCAGGCCACGATACGCTTATAATATCGCGGAACTTCCGTCTTGTTCAGACCCAGCGGGCCGCGATACCAACGATGGAATGTAGATATTGCCGAAAGACATTCTCCAAGGGAGAGCATTTGCGGGTAAGTTATAACCGGCGTTGCGCCTCGAATTAATTATTAACGGGCCGCTTAGAGACATGAACGCTGCCGTAAGAACCACCTGCTGTTTCCTTACAAACGGTTACCAATGCTTAACAATTGGAAATACCTTACCCGATTGCCCGCGGCTAACAGTTGGATGTAAAGATACTGGATCTCGCCCCTTCGTTTGCGCCGACTGCAAAAGACCCTTTGCGCGGCAGGATGCCTTGATTCGCCATGAGAGACTGCACACGCGCAAGGAAGGCGCGGAATATGCCTCCCCTGCCTCAAGCGCTGCCACTCAGGCACCGGCGCTGGCAGCTTCTATGTCTCAAGTCGTCAACACTGGTGTTAGGAGAACCGTGCCCAGTGCAGAGGCCGGGACGCCAGAGCAAACATGGATGGAGCAGCAATCCATGAACTCGGATGTACCAGATATGCTCCAGGCCCCAGATATCGGGTCTGACCTGATATGGCCCGATTCGGAAACGTTGTTTCAGACGATCATGTCGATGGATTCGACGAACCAGTGGCAGATGCCTCTGGGTACGCTGCCATTCTTGCCTGGTGTTCAGCAGGCGGGTAGCGATATCTGTGACAACCAGAGCAACAACTTCAAATCTCCAGACTCGTTTGATGACCGCGGGCCGGCTATTAGTGCTATCCCATCTGGAGGAAGCCATCGTGCTGTGCACGATGTCAGTAAAATGGTCTCCAACTTAGTAAGCCCCTGAACCTTGCGCACCATGTTTTGTAGCTCACGATATGGCTAGTCTTCAAGTGTTACAGCGGCAATAGAAGCCACTTCTATCACTTCTGTTTTCCTGGACGAATGTCTGCATATGTTTTTCGTCCGTTTCATCCCCACATTCCCCGTCTTGCACCGCGCAACATTTGTATTCCGAGAGAGTACGCAGCCGTTATTACTCAATGCTATGGCAATTGGCTCCTTATATCTTGGCCCCAAAGATTCGATTGCGAAGGGCGAGGCGTTATGGCGGCTGGCACATATTGCTGTTGCTACCAATTGGGAAACATTAATAACACACCGTGGACCATACGACTCCTGTAAAGGGGTACAGCTTGTTCTGACCGCATTATTGGGACAAGTGTATGGTGCATTATCAAAGGTATTTAACTCAGCCCAGCGATATAAGACATGATGCTCATATATCATCTATAGAACAGGGATGTCCGAACTACAAGCCAGGCATTCCATGCAATCGGCTTCTTCTGGGCCAGACACTGCGGAATGTTTGATAGCCCGCCATATCCCACAACGAATCTACCGAGGCTTAATGCACCAGAAACAACGATAGACCAAGAATGGAGGATATGGACAGCCAGAGAGATCCAACAACGAGCACTACTGGGCCATTACGTGCTCGATGGTCTAACAGCGCGCATGTCAGGAAGACCAACTTCAGTTCGCCATGCCGCTAACTCTCTAAACCTTCCCAGCGGCGAAGCAGCCTTTGAAGCCAGCACAGGCCTGGCTTGGCTGAACTGCATGCACTCTGAAAACCCAAACCCACCCACCTTCCGGAGCATATTGTCCTCGCTCTTCTCTCTCCAAGCACCGCCCCCCACAAACCACACATTCTCCGCCTTCTCCTTCCGCGTCATCCTCGAAGGCCTCCAATCCCTCGTCTCCGACTGCGCCGACGACCACGCCACCGTCGGGGTCCCTGCCAAACCAGAAGTCCGCACCGCCCTCCTCCAGGTCTACACCTGGATCACAGCAAGCACACACCTCCCCAGCGCCGATACACTCGAGATCCTGCTCCAATGGCATGCCACTTGCCTCAACGCATGCATAGACTCTTCCCTCCTCTGCCGACACATCTGCGCGCGCTACTCCATCTCTCAGCACGTCTGGGGTGGCAGCAAAGCTGCCATTCCTGGCCTTGACCTCGTCAAATGGGCTAACTCTGAGGACTCACGTAAGGCTCTCTTGCACGCTATCGCGATCCAAGAGATGGTTGAGCAGCTGCCGCGGGGGCGAGCGCATGTAATCCACATCCCGAGCTGTCTGTTCTCGGCAGCGACTATATTTAGTGTTTTCGCCTTAGCAGGGATAGCACAAGTGAACTTGCCGAGTGTGGTGGATTGGAAGTACCTGGTGTCGCGGGCTGATGAGGCGTCGGTGGTGATGACGGCATTGGCGGAGGCAAGTGTGAGTTCGGAGACGAAAAGGTTTGTAATGGGGGAGCATCCGTCGATGTTTGGGTTGGGAGGGGCGACGAGGAATTTGATGTATGAGTTGAATTCGATGCAGAAGCTGTTCCGGTGCTTGACGTCGCAGTGGGGGATTTCGATTGATATGGAGGTTGTTATGGATCAGTGGATTGCGCTTTGTCATTGAGCAGATTCTGGAGTAATCATGGCTGTACAAAGATAGTATTTATTATCATATGTCTGTCTATAATGGGAAGTGTCACGGAAGTAAAAGACCTCGCAGCCACCTGTCCCACAAAGATTGGATCAACAAAGCCTCATTGACGACTCGAACGGGCAACCTCCCTCCTCAAAAAATGCAAACAAAATGCCAAAAAACATGGCCAGACCCAGATTCGAACTGGGGTCCTCCGTCGGTTCTCAACCTCAAACTCGGGGGCTTGCCGAAGGCGAGTTTGGATACTATCCAAAACCGGTTGATAATTGAGAGACGGACATCTTACCGTTAGACCATCTAGCCTTTTGAATTAAAGACTATGCGTATAAAACGCTATATACACCGGACGTCTTGCACAGGGGTAGGTTTAGTAAGGGGGAGGGGGTGTGGGGGGAGAGTAGCTACACAACACACACTTCAAGGTGTTATATCCTCGAGGGGAACGGCCTGGTCATAGACCCAGACGAAGCACTTCGGCTTAAAGAGTCTCATCCGGATTTTGCATCCTATAGCTTGACATCGTCGCAGCGTAAATATATAAAATATATATCTGTAATTTGAAGGCCATATACCCGCCCAAATATCTACAACCAACACTCCCCCAATCATATATACACAGCATCACACCCCTTATACCCATCACGCAGCAACCAACCCTGGCCACTTCTCAATAATATATTCCACCACCGCATCTGGTCCCTTCTCAACCTGCAATCCCTGTGGCAGCGCCATTGTCCTTATCCCCGGCTTCGTCTCTCGTGCAATCGCCTGGATCCTATCGCTCTCCTCGGGCGTCCACATCGATGCACAGAACTGATTCCGTTAGCACTTACTCACTCTTAGCCAACCTATCTCCATGTGCTTACCAAAACATCCGGCTGGATCTTCTCAACCAAGCCCTTTACTTCATCGATAGCTAGTCCGTTTATCAGCAGCTGCGCTTATCACTTGGGAGAGGCCAGTGGTAGAGAGGGAGGGGGAGATTTACTCTCAGCATTAGCAGCATGAATAATCGTGTAATCTGCCTTCACATCCTCAACCACACGCCCAACAAGTCTCTTCGCGCGCTCAGGAGCCTTGTTGACCGTGACCAACTTGAAAGGGCCGAGGGGCTTGTGCGCTTCCGCCATATTGCTAACTTAATTCAAGACTCGGGAGACGAAATGTGTGAGAATGAGAAGCTGTAATATATTCGTAGATTCGGTTTAATTCGCAACGGTAAGTATAGATTTCTCAAAGTATGTAAAACTACGAGGGGGAAATGGTTATATTGTATTACGCCATCCGTCTAGCTTATGCCGCGGCCCTACCTGCCTGCCTCTCTGTCAAGGAGGGGCTACTGCGGCATCGGAATCCCATCCCACACACGGCATATCTCCTCCATATGGAAGATATCTCGGCTTCCTCGCCATACTCTACTCCGTAGACACGACTCGTCTCAATTCCTCTCGTCCATACCGTCATCCCCACGCGCCTCCAACATGTAAAACAACCACGACCGCGCCCTCCGAATCCCCTAGGTCTCCACAACAGCCACTGTGGGGATCCCTGTCGTACGGAGGTGGGGATCTATTCGGGGTTCCAGGGGCCGGGTATCCCTTTTCCCGGTGGACCCCTCACACTTAGTCAGCCGATTTAGGGAGGGGGAAATCACGTGCTAGGCTCCGAATCGGGGGCTCTATTGACGACTGCTTGTGGATTGATAGCTGTTGGTTATAGAAGAAGCGACCGATTTTTGATTATTTGAGGCTCAAGTGCATATTTAGTCTGGGTATTATTGCAGTAAAAGATTTAGCAACGTCAAGTTTCCGTTTTTCGTGCGATAACAGCAAGCAAGCACCTTGAAACTTGAAACCTCTCGTCCAGCTTACAAATATAACGCTTCAAGATGGCAGCAGCTTCATTCAATCGCAAGTACTCTAAACAAACCCAGCAGCGCTACCCCTGCCTATTTCTAACACTCAACACAGGTCTGGTACGCTTCATCCCCAAAGCGGACAGCTCAGCGATCCTCCTCGGCCAGCCCGCCGACGCGGCAGTCGACGTCGGAGCAGCTTTGCGCGCTGGGAAGGAAGTCCTCGTTGATATCTTCAGCGGAAAGTCTGCGCTTAGCCCAGGGTCAAAGACCGGGAAGACTGAGTCGATAGCGAGGCTTTTGTCGCCGCTTGCGCAGGAGGAGGTTGGCACGATTAGATGTATTGGGCTTAATGTGCGTGATCTTGCGAATTCGTCCGTGGGGGAGTTATGAGGGGTGCCGGCTAATAGGAGTAATAGTACGCTCAACATGCGAAAGAGGTCAAGATGGCGCTGCCGACTCTGCCTACCCTATTCCTGTATGCAGCCCATTTCCATCCCCAGCCATGGAGTGCAAGAGTATATGATCTAACTTTCTCCCAGCAAGCCGGAAACTGCCCTAGCAGACCCCTGGCCAACGCCTTTCACGATCCCCAAATCCACGATTGGGGATGACACCACTGACTTCGAGTCCGAACTCGCTATTGTTATTGGTCGTCCAGCAAAGGATGTTTCGGAGGCTGATGCGCTTGACTATGTCTTGGGCTATACAGCCGCGAACGACATCTCGGCACGTACTGCTCAGTTTGCGCAGACGCAGTGGTGTTTCTCAAAGGGCTTTGATGGCGCGTGTCCGATTGGTATGTTGATCCTGAACGCCGTGTTGAGAACGTCAGCTACGGATTGTGACTGACAATGAACACAGGCCCCGTGTTGATCTCCAGCAAGGAATACGACGTGAGTAAACTCCGAGTTCGTGGATTGAAGAACGGACGAGTCTTGCAAGACTGTGGGACCGAGTAAGTGCCCCCCTTTTCTTATTTTCAATCTTCTTAATGTCGATCGTCGATGAAATTTACGAACATAATCGATACTGACATCGTGTAAAGCGACCTTATTTTCTCTGTCGCCAAGATCGTGAGCTTTCTCTCGCAGGGAACGACGCTGAAGCCCGGGACGGTCATCTTGACAGGTACCCCAGCGGGTGTTGGCCATGGTTTCTCGCCGAAGGAGTATCTTCGTGACGGCGACGAGTTCTCCGTCGAGATCCTGCCGGGTATTGGGACGTTGACGACGGCGTTTGTCAATGAGAAATAGAGTGACAGAGTGCAGCAACCGATAAGTATTACAGTTTGGCCAGATCACTCAGCAGCAGATTTCAGGCGGTGATAGTATGATAATCTGTACATAGAATATATTATCATGCCAATTCACGGCTATCTCGAATATATTGCGAAGTGCATTGAGCCATTCCCCCCCTCCTTTACGATCTGGCTGATGCCTGAAGTCACTACGTGCTGGAAAGGGGGACTTTCCGCTGCCTTCCACGTCTCGAATCTAGACCAAACTTTGAAGGGGTCATTTGACTCACTCTACCTCAGTTGCATTGTTGGAGTGGCGGACTGCCTTGCTGTGCCTCCCCTGGATCGTTAAGACACGCCCGCTGCCTCACTCCTGTTGTCCGAGCCCCCCTGGACAAACAAACCGAAGGCATCTATCAGGAGGCGTCGGCGTGTAGTGTTGAAGCGGCGTCTAGTAAGGATTACTCGTTTCCTTCCGTTCAAAACATGTCAGTTTCCAACAACAGTCCCGAGGTTCAGATCACAGCCCCTATGCCTCAGTTGGACACTCTGCCGTGCCCAACAAAGGCATCAACACTCAACAGCGCGATGATACCTTTGTCGGGCACGGAACAGCACAACTGTCTTAGTTAGCGCGAGTATAGGGGACTCGTACCTTACCCATCACAAACGCAGGCTCCGAACCGCGTTGGACCCTGCCGCGATTCTGGGTCTGTGTCGAAGCCCGTGTCTCGAGTTCCCCACCAGACAATAGTAAGTAGGCAAGAGGAGGTGGTATTGCTCATTCCATGTCCCGTCAGAGTGGGGGCCTCGTCAGCAACGTATGCGATGTCTGCGTGCCGTCTGGGGCGGGGCAATATGCTCGATAGGGATTTTATTGCTTGAGGCGTCGGCTGTAGTATTTCGAGGAATGCGCCTCTCATCAGTTCTCTGTTTCGTTGATCGGTCAGCTAACCGGGAGCATTGGCCACTGCTCATTATCCGCGGTGGGGAAATGTGTGACTAGCTGAGAGCATCCGCAGATCGTGGTCTGGCTCGATGTCTCACGTGGGTTGAGGGGTGAGTCCAACAGACAACAGGGAGAGCAAAGGACGGTGTGAGACTTCACCTTTCCCTCACATACCGCGGCTATAGCCTCCCGAGTGACAGGAGGAGAGACTTCAGTCTTGACATTATGAAGCATAGAGAGATTTGGACCCCAAGCAGATCTGCCGTGAATCTTCACGGTGGCGTCCGACACATGAGTGATTTTTGACTGTGCCAGCACGGCAGACAAAGGCATAGACAAGGGAAGCTGTTCAAGGCAGTCAGAGTTACATCCTCCGGCTTTGCGTCGCCGTCACCGGTTTGGGAATGTATGCAACTCGATGGGAATGCCCTTGCCGTGACCTGTCTTACGCTCTCGCCGATCTGGCCACTGCCAAGCCGTTATGCGTCCCGACAACCTGGTATCTCGATATCAGTTAACCATATTCTGCTAGTGGCGATCATGTCGATGTGATTCTAGCGGCGAAATGGCGAGGGATAACAATAGTAAGGCGAGGAACAATACTAAGGACGGGGCCAGTCGGGGATAGGGGTTTAGCAGGGGGAACAATACTAAGGGGCTAAGCGACTCTCAACCACAACCACAATTCACCATAACAACCACAACCCAACAACAAAAAAACCACTCCCTGACGTCCAGACATATGCACCAATGCACCAATGATGCAGCCCAGCCCTTATTCGATAATGGAAGAGCCTCGATTGTTTCTTCTGTTCCTTCTATTCCTTCTTTATCGAGGAACAGTCACATATTGCCTGTGACCACGGACTTGTCGTTTATTGCAACGACTGTTCAGTTCCAGCCCGCTCAGCCCGCTCACGATGCTTTGACGGTAAGTCCTCCTGACCTCTCTTCCCCCACCCTCACTTGCTCTCTCCATTCATTGCAGAACCGTCTGTCACCTCTCATCACCTCTCCTCCTTTCAAGTCATAAGCATGGGCCCCTTACGCCGTCCCTTTCCAATACTGTTCAAGCTTGGACAGCCGGAGGAATGCAGTCTCCATACCCCTCGCCGCTGCCTGGCTATCTCAAAATCGAGTATAAGTATCCCTCTGCGATCCGCCCATACCTCCTCTTTTTTTCTTCATCACAAACACAACAGATTTCCACACACAAACAAACCAAAGCAACCACTGCCTCTCTCCAAATATATCATTAC